CCCCCTGGTCTGTTCATAAAATTGGACACTCTTGCTTGTTGTATATTTCCCAACACAGATAGACTACTATTAAGTCCTTTTTGTCTATGGCAGGTGGATAGGTGGACAGTCACCACAGAATTGAATCTCTCTTTTTAATCAGGGTGGTGGCCGTCGCTGCTCTTGCTTCCTCACACATATCTCGTGAATTGGTTCTTTTCTACAGGGTTGCTTTGAGTTGGAATCAACTCTGTGTCAGTCAATTTTGGTTTCCCACCATTTGTATTAGGGGTTTCATTTTTTGTATTTTGGTACCCTCTAAACTGCCAGAAAGGAACTCTGGTGGTGCAGTGATTAAGGCATTTGGCTGCTAACTAGAAGGTTGGTGGTTTAGACCCACCAGCTGTTCTGCAGAAGGAAAATGAGGCAATGTGCTTCTATAAAGATTATATAGCCTTGGAAGCCCAACGTGGGTTTCTACGAGTCAGAATTGACTTGATGGCAGTGAGTTTGTTTTTTTTGAGATCTGCCAGGCATTCCATCTGGTATAAAGAGTGACTTGGGGATCTGGTTTTAATTTCTCTGCCTTTCCTTCCAGTAAGTCTAACTTTGTGTATCAGGGAGCAGTGGTGAATCTGTTCTGCGGAGACGAGCAGAGCCCCCCACCTGCAGTGTTTCTGCACAAGGCTACCTCTGAGTTACCTCTTAGGACCTTAGGGATGACCGGCCTCTGTTGGGTCAGTCACCTGCTGGGCCAGCACCAATGGTGTTGTTTGCACCAGTGTTTGTTACTGCTTAGCTTTTGTGTTTTGGTTTGTCTTTCGTTTCTTTCGGTGACAGACAGTGAGGGCCAGGCTTCTGAAGCCATTAAGTAGGGAAGAGCTGCAGGGCTTGAAGGCCAGAAGTACGTTCCAGACGTTGTCTGTGGGCACGTGTCTGACCCACGTTCTGTGGGCATGCGTCTGTTTTCCCTGTGACAAGTGTCAGCTCGCTGACCTGTGGAGCATCTTTCTGTTACACTTGGATGAGCTCAGTGGCTACTCGTTGGAGGCTGACTGGTCCCCAGTCTGGAGCAGCTTTGGGTAGGGGTGGCCGCATCCTCGTGGGTCCCTGATCTGGAGAGGTGCTGGGCAGCTGGGGCCGTGACCTTGTGGGTCCCTAGTCTGGAGAGGTGCTGGGCAGCCGGGGCCATGACCTTGTGGGTCCCTGATCTGGAGAGGTGCTGGGCAGCCGGGGCCGTGACCTTGTGGGTCCCTAGTCTGGAGAGGTGCTGGGCAGCCGGGGCCATGACCTTGTGGGTCCCTGGTCTGGAGAAGTCCTGGGCAGCCGGGGCCGCAGCCTCATGGATCCCTAGTCTGGAGAGGTGCTGGGCAGCTGGGAGCACAGCCTCGTGGGTCTGCGGGCTAGAGAGGTGCTGAACAGTCGGGGCCACAGCCTCGCGGGTGCCCGGTCTGCAGAGGTGTTGGGCAGTCAGTCTCCACAGCACAGTGGAAGATGGTTTGTGGTCAGTCAGGTGGGGGCAGCTCCTTCTCAGTGTGGCTCTGCACCTAGTGGTTGCCTGCTTTGTTAGGTCTGTCTCATGGGTGTGTCTGTCTTGTCAGGTTTGTTTTCCCCCCTTTTTCTGACCCTCTGCTGTTTTCTTCAGGAATGTCTCCTCTGTCCCTCCTCCCCCTTTGCCTTCTCAGCCGGTTATTTGCTTGCTTCTGTGTTGCTGCCTCTTGGCTCTGGCCACATTGGGTACTTACTGCCCTTCCAGTGCTCTCACACTTCTCCCAAGAGGGCCTGGGGTTTCAGGCCCACGTGACCGTTTCACTGGACGGGCTAGCCGATTGTAAGCTGGGGTGTGCTCTTATCTCTCCTTGAATCCTGAAGAACGCAGGGAGGGTCAGGCACCATCCTCCGCTTTTCTCGAGGGTGTGCCCCGACCTACGCTTCCCACACTACAGCTGTGAGATGGCTCCTGTGGTTTTCCTTGGACAGGCTGAAGACTGTCAGAGAGTGTCAGTAGTCCTTGTCTTCTGGCATGGATTCAGTGGAGCGCTTTCTTCCTCTGACGTTTCCCTGCTGTTGGGAAGCTGTCCATACTCTCCTGTGCTGAAGATGACTCAGACGGGATGGGTGTGATCACAGTCCTCGGGGGGTCCCACGGCACCATAGGGAGCTGTGAGCGTGTGTGAACCTCTGGCTCTGTGTGTGGCGCATAGTAGGTGTGTTAATGTCTCTCCCTTCCCTGCAGGCCACTCACCTGCTCTTCCCTCCGCGGTTTTCCGTAACAGTTTTTGCTGGAAGCAGCCTCTGCAGAAGTCTCAGTTGGGCTGTGTCCTCTCCAGCAGCTAGTGTGGGCGCGGTGCCTCTGCAGCCCCAGTGGCCCAGCCACGCGCTTGCTGCGCTGCTGCTCGCTCGTCCGTTGCACCAGCTGGTGATGTAAGTGTCCCGTCCTCCCAGGGCCCGCGTTCCTTACCAGTAAGCTGCCTCTCTGAAAAGGTAGCATCCTTGACCAGCGCACGCCTGTCTTTCTTCACCACTGCGGCTGCCCATAGTGGTGACTGTAACTCGTGTGGCCGCAAAGTGGAGCTAGAGGAGGGGGACATAGTTGGTCCACACAGGGCGCCTGGTGCGTGCTGGGCCCAGGACACAGGGCCTTTTGAATCAGGTAAAATGTGGTGGAGCCTGCCAAGGAGGTCAGCATTGTTTCCAGAGTCTGAGATCAGAGACCTAATGACATAAAGGGTCAAGGATGATACATTTTCAAAGAAAAAGAAGTTACTGGTAAGTAACTGGGATCTTTGAGTTACTTCTTTAAGTCCACGCACGGTTAAGGGTTCCCAAACTTGCTTTCCCAACAAATGCTTTGGCATTTAAATATTAAACTGATGGAAGAAAGGAATGTGGTTATTGGTCAAGGTTAATAGTGAAGGGACAGCTACTGCAGAGGTGCTGAAGGATGGAGTGGACCCCACTTGTCAGAATGGCTGATCTCTCAGCTGCACACAGCAGTGCACTTGGGGTCTCCATGGAGAGAACAGAGGAATCACAGTCTGCTCACTTCAGAAACATTTTTTGAGTGCCTGCTGCTTGGAGACACTGTAATGGGTATGGGAGCCAGAGACATGGCCACCCTGCCCCTGAGCTTCCTTCCTGACTCTGACTTGGGAAGACATGGATGGGGGTGTGACAGGCGTAGGACAGGAAGTGGCGCTCAGCGCGTCAGCCTTTGCCGCTTAGTTTCTGTGCGTGTGGAAGTCCTTGCTGTCCTGGCCAGCCACTGACTCGCTCAGCTGAGAGTTTTCCATGTCACTGGTGCAGCCGGAAGAGACCTTGTCCTCCTCTCTGCTCTTTGAAAAGTAGTCAGCTGCCTCACTGGCCTTACTTGTGATTTTGGTTTTAAATGTTAAAGCAGTAGCAAGTCTTTAAGCATTAAAGGCAGATAACCTTCTGAATTTAAGCCACAGAATATGCATTTGATCCCACCAAGCTGAAAAGAAAACTCCAAACTTGAGCATTTTGTTCAAGTAATGAAGATTGTTTCATATGGAAATCACCAGAGAGTGTATACTACTGTCTGGTAGTTAGGACCCGCCCCATCTCAGGTTGTTCAGTCAGGTGCAAGGAGGAAGGACACCGGTCCCTGGGGGCGAGGCCAGTCCCCTGTGCCCCTCACACTCATGCTGCGCTGGCCGGTCCACAGCTGTGGAACTCAAAGGCCTGCATCCAGTGGCTGAGCTGAGGGAGCCCTTAGCACAGTACCTGTAACACTGCAGGTGCTCAACAAATGTTATCTGGGCTGAAGCCTGCCTTGCTGAGCCAGGGGTTGCATGGGCCGCCTTTGTCTCTGCCTTTGGGGAGGCAGGTGGCCGGCTTAGCCCGCCTGGGCTCTCTGACTGCTGTCCCTTTGAACCTGGTGCAGGAAGGCGTTTTTCCTGGGCTGTGAAGGTAGCCCCACTCCCAGCCTCTGAGGGATTCCACCAAACCCAGCCCAGTGGCTTTAAGATCTCTTAAATAAAAATGAAACATTTAACAATCCCGTGTGTGTAAACGTTTCACCTGACTCCTCCAGCCCCGTTTCTGTTTCTCAGTCCTCACTGACTCTAGGGTGTTTTTGCGAAGGCCTAGGGCCTGATGCCTGGGGGGTGGTGCTGGGTAAGAAGGCAGACTCCTGGGCCCTGGGGGTGCTGAGTTTCCTGTGGGACAGACTTACCGTATTTCATAGAATCAGAGGTGCGAACGAATGTGTTAAAGGGCTGCACCTTGGAGTTACTGTGATGAGAAGCACCGTGTAGTAGTCTGATTGGCAGCACTTTGTCTTCGTGGTGTATAAACAAGTGTGCTTTAAGATGGATGCCATCGCAGATTAGATGAAATACGGTGCTATACTAGGGTTGGGAGGCAATGAGGGTAGAGAGCAGGGCTGCTGAGTCAATGGGCCTCACTGCCTGGTTAACCCTGCTGGGTGGTGGATGGGCCCGTCTTGTGCCAGGCATGTGGAACACGTGATATGCTTAAAACAGCCCCCGGCACGCAGGACGCGCTAACGATGAGCTGTTCCCATCTCTGAGCTAGAGATGCTGGTTTCACAGAATTTATTTCACTCCATTTTGTTGTGGTGGAAATGCAGACATTTTCCCTTATATCTGTGCATCGTGATAATATCAGCAAATGACAGTTTTTTAAATAGGGGAAAAGAAAGAAAGGGTAGTAAGTTTCCTGTTATTAAGAGAGGTTTCAGCGTCGCATTTGCTCGATATGCACATGAGAGATGAAGCGCTGAGCCAGGAAGTCTGTCGTCAGGGTTGAGTCCATGACGTGTTTGTTTCTTCTTGGCATTGGTAAGTACACGGAGGGTTAGGAGGCTTGAAAGTGTGCAGGATGGAGGACCGTTTTCATGCTAAGTAAAGAGAAGGGTGGGGGGCGAGGTTGTCTGGGGCCCCGTAGAGAGATACCCTGTGCACAGCTGTTGAAGCTATGGTGTGTGCACCCCTCGGGCCATCCTGTCCTAAGCACCCTCTGTCATTTCTGCCCAGTGTTCGGTGAGCAGCGACTTGGACTTCCCCACACAAGCCATCCCCTTGAAGACGCTGAATGCGGTGGCATCTGTGCCCATCATGTACTCCTGGTCCCCCCTGCAGCAGAACTTCATGGTGCGTACTGCGTCTGCCCTCTGGGCACACAGGCCTCCCTGGCAGCCTCAGGGAGGACAGTGTCTTCCCTCTGAAGGGAAAATGGCTGCCAGCAGAACCATGCTTTGCAGAAGCCACCCCTGGGATTAAAACCTAAAAACACTCCCACCTTTGAATGATAGCCTTTCTCTGCTGTCCCAGTCTGACCTTGAACTTTGGTCAGCTGGGACTCATGATCTGAAACCATCTTTAGCAGCATGTTATTACGTGAGAATGTGCGTGAAGAAGTGTTCTCAGGGGTAACACATACAAGCTTAACCAAGCTCTCCCAGATACAGGCCCAGGGATGTGTAATGAAATACGGGCTCTAGCTGTTGATGGAGAGGAGGGCGGGTGAGACAGGGCTGAGGAGGGCCGGTCTGTGAGTGGAGCTGTGTGCTTTGGTAAAAAGTGCAGAACTGTTTGACTGACTTGGTTTGTAAAATGGGAGAGGGCCAGTGACAGGGTGAGGGGAGTCCTCGGTGACCCTACAGCAGAGAATTGTTTACTGGTTTTTAATGTTTGCAACGTTTCAAGAAACCTGTTGGACAGTTCCCGCGCTCGGGGCGGGAGGCATCTCAGCAGTTCTTTGCCGCTGCACAGGCGAACGTGTGTGTGTACATATGTGTATGTATATATGTGTGTGGGGGTGAGGCTTCACTGTTCCCTGGTACAATACACGGCTGTGTATACATGTGTACGCATGCATGTATGTATATACAGACGTGTATGTACATGAGGCTTTACTGTTCATAGGCTCAAACTACACAGGGGCGTGTGTGTGTATGCCTGTGTGCATGTTTGTAAATGAAGCTTTACTATTCATAGGCTCAGACTACACAGGTGTGTACGTGTGTGTGAGGCTTTGCTGTTCGTGAGCTCAAACTACACAGGTGTGTGTGTGGGTGTGTATACATGTGTGTAAATGAAGCTTTACTGTTCATAGGCTCAAACACCACAGGCATGTATGAGCATATATGAGGCTTTCCTGTTCAGTGGTACACTATGTGGGTGCCTGTACACATGTGTGTACATGTGTGTGAATGAAGCTTTACTGTTCACAGGCATGTGAGAGCATGTGTGAGGCTTTACTCTTCAGTGATACACTGTGTGGGTGCTTGTATGTGTATATGTGCATATGTGTGAATGGAACTTTACTGTTCACAGGCTCAAACAACACAGACGTGTGAGCATGTGTGAGGCTTTACTGTTCAGTGGTACACTGTGTGGGTGTGTGTACACACATGTACATGCATGTGAATGAAGCTTTACTGTTCACAGGCTCAAACAACACAGATGTGTGAGCGTGTGTGAGGCTTTATTGTTCAATGGTACACTACATGGATATGTGTACGTTTGTGCATGTACACGTACGTGTGTGTGAATGAAGCTTTACTGTTCCTAGGCTCAATAAAACTCCACAGGCACATGTGCACATGCGTGTGTAAGGCTTTACTGTTCATGCGTTCTGACACCAGAGCCTCATGGACTCCTCGTGTTGTAGCTGTGAGCATAAGTCCATAAGAATATAGTTTTTATAGAGTCAGTATCAGGTACAGACCATGCAGGGGTTACTGATCAGAGAACATTAGGGAGACTGTCTTTGTAGAGGGGCAGGATATGTTTTGGGGAGTAAAGGTGGTAGGGATACAACTGGGAAGACAAAATAGCCAGCTGCCATTAGTCTGGGTTTACAGTCAGAGAAGGTGTACTGTCAGTTGCCATGGTGAGCTCTCTGACTCTTGGCAGGCCCCCCGGGTATCAGAGGGGAACTGGGGTCCAGGCTTCAGTAGCTGATTTTTCCAAGTGGAGCTCCAGGCCTTTCTTCCGAGCCATGTCTGGTTGGATTCTAACCTCCACCCTTTAGGTTAGCAGCTGATTGCATTAGCTATTTGTGCCACTCGGGGACCCCACAGAAACACAGTCTCTGGATTCACAGGGCCTCAGCAGGTTGGGTGAGGTGCACAAATGCTCGGGTCAGAGGGATCAGCCCATGATAGTCGGGCTTGGCTTGTAGCCCTTCTTTCCCTTGCCTCCCTTCCTAGCTGTCTGAGGCACTGTTGTCTGTGGACTGTGCTGACCCCACTTGTCACCTCTCATGTCCTGTCCTGAGAGTCTGGCTGGATCTCCCCACTTGAGGCAGCTCTGGGCTGTCCAGTCAGGTCCAGCTGGGCTGGCCTGATGTACACTTCTCTTTTTAACCACCCCGCTTCAAAGCCTGTGAAGACAGCCCCTGGGCTCACGTCACATGCGTTGCTTTAAACATGGGCTGCAGAAGTCTCAGTTTTATCATGCTCATGCTATCTGCTCTCTGTTGAGTGTTGTTTCTGAGACACTCGCCTTGGACATGCCCTCACCTTTTTTCTGATTGGCTCTTCTCTGCGCAGCACCCTCCTGGCTGGTTGCCCTGAGCCTTGGTGTCCGCTCGCGTGTGTGTATAGTTCTACACTCAAGCTTAATCCTTGTAGACCATGAACACTCCTCTTACATTGAACGTCTCTGATTAGGTAGATCATGAAATGTTTAGGAATCGTATCCTATTCTTAGCTCCTGCTGATCAGCCAACCATATTTCATCAATTCTAAGACCCCCCCCTCCCCGACCTGTCTAACGTCTGAAAGTAGGAAGGTGTCTGAGGTGGACTTTGTACCGCAGTATAACTGGCAGTTCTCCTTGCTCAAAAAAAAAATACACTGCTGTCAAGTCAGATCTGACTCACAGTGACCCCTCCTTGGGTTTCCGAGGCGGTATTACTATAGAAGTAGATTGCCCAGCCTTCTTTCTGAGGAGTGGGTGGTGAATTTGAACCGCCAGCCTTCCGGTTAGCAGTCGCATGCCTTAGGCAGTACGCCACCAGAGCTCCCTTGCTTCAGAGGCACATAAAATAGTAAGTTTTAACAACTGGTGACAGATTAGGTAGAATAGTGTTTTCTGAAATTTGTTGTGCACAACCGGTTTGTTTCCTCAGGTGGCAAGATGTGTTGGTGAAAGGGCTCATTTCTGTATGGGGTTGAGGGTTGGCTGACTGCCTAAGATCTGGAGAACCAGGTGGAGATGTAACTGGAATAGGATGCCTCTTGTCCATAAGTAGGTGTTTCACTCAGTTTCTCACTTTCAGGTGGAAGATGAGACAGTTTTGCATAACATCCCTTACATGGGGGATGAGGTTTTGGACCAGGATGGGACTTTCATTGAGGAGCTGATAAAGAACTATGACGGCAAAGTGCACGGGGACAGAGGTTAGTGTGGCTTCCTTCTCTGGGACCCGGGGAGTGGGAGAGACTTCCGTTTATTGAGCACAGGCAAGAAGAGAGGTTTTAAAAATGAAAGTTACGTCTTGCCCCAGGTGATGGACAGCAGGCCCAGGCTCACAGGCCAGGATTTTTGCTGTTTCCTCTGTTGGTAAATTAGAAGAGTGTGTCCTGTCTGATGTCTGAGTGACAGGTGTTTGAAAGGTACTTGATGATTTCCCTAGTTAGCTGGTTATAGTACACATTGGACTTCAGAGGAAATGTTTGAAAGCTTGCCAACATCGAGACTCTCGTGGTGAAGTGGGCGGGGGCTGACTTGCTTGTGGTGTGAGGGTTGATTTGGTGTGGCCTCTGCACACGGGTCCCCAGGCCTGCTGCCCATAGGCCCCTAGATGACTGTAGCCGCTGGATGGCTCAGTGGAACGGGGCCGTGGCTCTGGCCAATTAGAGTGACTGGAGGGAGGGCCACCACCATTAATTACCACAAGGGAGCCATTACCTTGTTAGTGGACAGTTGGGTCTGGAAGTGGCAGGTCCATAGCCACTAGGAGAAAATGCAGGTGGTGCAGAGGCAGCCAGTCCTGACAGAAGCTCCTCTTCACTCATGACAACACTTGTGTCCTGGTGCTGGCCATGGGCTATGACGTCTCATCTACATCAGAGAAGGCTTTCCTCAACAGTGCTCATGTGTGTTTGACAATCCGTGTGGTGCGTTTCAGAGTGCGGCTTTATCAACGACGAGATCTTTGTGGAGCTGGTGAATGCGCTTGGTCAGTACAATGACGATGATGATGATGATGGTGATGACCCTGATGAGCGAGACGAGAAGCAGAAAGGTCTGGAGGAGCCCCGTGACGGTGTGTGTGCTAGGCGCTTCCTATTTTCACCAGCAGGGGATGGAGGCAGCCTTGTGCCCTTCTTCTCGTCACTCCTTTTTGTCAAACGTCACACAACCACCATCTCATGAGCCTGGACCAAGGCCTCCTTGTTTTCCAAGGAGACTTGTGAGAAACTGGGGACCCTCTGAGCATGGGCGGGCTGCCAGCTGCTGCCCATGCAGTGGCGCGTGTGTAGCCCATCCACTCTGTAGTTGAGGGATGGCTCTCAGGAGCCGTGAGCAGGAGGCTGTGTGCAGGAGGGCATTGTCCAGGGACAGCATTGCTGATCTGCACAACTCTCAGCGCCCTGGGAACCCCCTGCCCTGAGACAGGCTCTGTTAGTGTTTTTACTGGGCTGACCCGTTACAAGGCCTCAGTGGGGGGTATAGACAGAGACTGCTAGTTAGTGGCAGACCCATTACAAGGCAGTGTGTGGGGTGTAGACAGTGTCTGCTAGCGTTCTTAGTGGGCACACCTGTTACAAGGCCACGTGGGGGTTGTAGGCAGAGTCTCTGCTAGTGTTCTCAGTGGGCAGACCCGTTACAAGGCCACGTGGAGGAATTTGAGGAAAGGTACGGTTTCAGGGAAATGCAGATTTGTGCATTGTGAGGGGCCTTAGTGAACATTTAGCCCAGCATCTTCTTTTAGACGAGTACCTATCAGGCAGTGGAGGGACCCATCGCATCTGAGTCGCTTCCCAGACGGTGGGGGTCACACCTCGAGTCTTCTGCCTCCTGGGGCTCTTAAGTGTCACCTTTGATTTTAATGTGTGTATCTGAGCTACCAGTTCTCCACAGATCCAGGTTGATGGTACCACTGTGGTCTAGAGATGGTTTGTGTGGAGAAAATGGAAGATCAAGGGCCAGTTGACTTTCATGTGCTTTTTCCTTTCATATTTTTCTGCTTAGATAAAGAAAGCCGTCCACCTCGGAAATTTCCTTCTGATAAAATTTTTGAAGCCATTTCCTCGATGTTTCCAGACAAGGGCACAGCAGAAGAGCTAAAGGAAAAGTAAGATGTGGTCTTTTGAGGTGGTGCTTCTGTGCCTGGTGTGAGGAGTAGGTTGAAGATGTGTGTGTGGGATCTGAGTAAGAGGTCTGTCCCATGAGCACAGACGGACGTCACTGCCCATAGCACCACAGCTAAGGGCACCCCACTGGACACTGGGAGCCACTGTAGTCAGTTGGTGTTGAGTGAGTGAGTGCCCTCTCCCTGTAACACACTGCGGCTGTGGGGTTGATCCTTGTAGCGCCGTGCATCGTAGTGATCGGCTCTTCCTCTGAATTTCCGTGTGTAGACTAGCTTGTGTGTGTCAGGGGAGGTGGTAGCAGAAATGTGAGCTACAGAGAAGCTGGGGGCTGACTTCGAGACGGTGTCTCCAGGTACAAGGAGCTCACGGAACAGCAGCTGCCAGGCGCGCTGCCTCCGGAGTGCACCCCCAACATCGACGGGCCCAGTGCCAAGTCCGTGCAGCGAGAGCAGAGCCTGCACTCATTCCACACGCTCTTCTGCCGGCGCTGCTTCAAGTACGACTGCTTCCTGCACCGTAAGTGCCGCCCCTGGCCGTACCCCCGTGACCTGCTCTCTGGGAAGCCAGGCTGCTATTCCTGGCTGAGGGACCGTGAGCCAGCTCAGTGCCCACAGCAGCACTGTTGAGAGGAGGCACGGGGCCTGGGGGATAAGCCCTAGGCTGAAGGCACGTTGATACGTTCGTCTCTTTAGCATTCGATTTGGTATTTTGTGAAAATCTGTTGGCAGAGTCTTTCTGGAATGTTTATTACTATTGAGTGTAGTGATTTAATACTTAGAATGGTTAGTGTCTGGGAAAAGTTACCCCCGATGTGTAGTTTCTGGTTGATAGTTCTCACAGGAAGTGGTGAAAAGCCTATGTACGTGGGTCTGTTTTGCCACAGCTGTGTGTACAGCATCTCAGTGCTGCTGTAACACATCGCCCACGTGGGCGCTTCTACAAGAACAGAAATGGGTCTTCTCATAGTTGGGAGGCTGTAAGTCCGGGTTGAGGCACCTGCCTTGGGGGAGGTTGCTGCCTTGGCCAGCCCTATGTGGGTCTCTCCCCCACCTGTGCTTGCTACTTTGTGCCCGCTCTGCTCGTGTGACAGCTCAGTGAGGTGGCTGTAGACACCCTGCCCTGGTGTGGCCTTACAGACGAAGAAAGCCTTATTTTCTCCAGTGGGGTTATGTGCACAGGTAAGGGGTTTGGATTACAAACCCGATTTTGAGAGGACACAATGTAGTCCCTGACTCTCTCTGATTCAACACCTGAGCTTCTGTGAGTATTAACGGAGGTGGGGCCTGCAGGGCATCTGTGGGAGCCTGGGCCAGGCTGTGTCTGCTCGCTGCCAGCGCTTCACGGCCGGAACTGTTAGTCCTGGGAGCTGTGTGAGAGACGCTGTGGTACCAAGCTAGATGGGGCGCTGACTCCAGTCCTCCCCCAGATACCAAAGGCTGGGTCTTGGGACCTTTCCGTAGATCAGCAGACATTTGTGTGGACCCTGTGTGCTTTAAGTCACCCCCAGGCAACTCAGAACACGATACAGTGTAGACATCGGGGGAGGGCGCTTGACACTTTCAGCTGCTGAGGGTTTGCTCTGACAACCTAATTGCTCTCTCGTCCCTTGTGTGTTTCCAGTCTGCTGTGGGCCAGATTTGCAGATGGGGAAACCATAGATACAGAGGGCCAGCTGTAAACTCGATTCAGTAAAACAGTTTAACACGCAGCTCCGTGCTTTGAGCAGAAGTGAGCCCACAGACTGACTGCTTGTGCTGATGTGCGATGGTGTATTGTGTTGGTGCATGACTCCAAGGCAAAGGGACCTCTAGAGCAAGCCGTGTGCCCATAGGCACAGTTACAAGGACTGTGCACACAGGGCAAGAACTGAGCGAGGTGCTAGGCCCTCTGCAGCCAGGTGAGCCCCTGCAGGTGTCTGTCTGCTCGTTGGTAAAGCACGCTGGGAGTGGGCCTCAGAGGCATCTTGCTGCTGCCTGCCCACACGAGGCCTGGCTCATTCGGCCGCCCAGGACTGCAGTCATTTTTAACCTGTGTTCGTGTCTTACAGTTGCCGACTTGACTTAATCCCATAGGTAGTAGCAGCTGCAGCTGTGAGTCATAATTTAGAACTAGTCTCTTTGCTTGAAGGTAGGTACGATTGACCAGTGAGAGTTTGCAGATTGCTTTTGAAATAAAGTAAAAATGCCCTTGATGTCAGTGTTCTCTCGTTTCTGTAAAATTTAAAACGCACTCTCCCTTGATTTTCCTGTTACTGCTTTTTCCAGCCAGGACTCTGTATTTAGTTTGAAATGCACCTGAGAGTATAGTATTTTAGATGCTTGTACTTAAAAGATAAGGTTCCACTTTCAAAGTGTTTCTAGAAGAAAGAATCCTTTATGTTGTGTCCAGAAACCCGGTGCTTGTGAGTCAGTTGAGGGCGAGCTAGCTGAAAGAGCAGTGCTGCTTCTGGGGGTGAACCAGCCCACTGCCTGGAGTTGATTCTGACTCACAGCGCCCCTAGGGGACAGAGTGGAACCGCCCCACAGGGTCTCTAAGGCTGTCAGTCTTTATAGATTGTTGTTGTTGTTATGTGCTGTCAAGTCGGACCCGACTCATAGCGACCCCTCCTTGAGTTTCCAAGGCAGTATCACTACAGAAGTAGATTGCCCCATCTTCCTTCCGAGGAGCGGCTGGTGGGTTTGAACCACCAGCCTTCTGGTTAGCAGTCAAGTGCCTTAGGCACTATGTTACCAGCGCTCCTAATCTTTATAGAAGCAAAGCCCAAATTAGATCCACTGCTATGGAGTCGATTCCCACTCACAGCACCCCTAGAGGACAGAGTGGAACTGCCCACAGGGTCTCCAAGGCTGTCAATCTTGACAGAAGCAAAGCCCAAACTACACCCACTGCCGTGGAGTCCATTCCAACTCACAGCCCTCCTAGAGGACAGAGTGGAACTGCCCCACAGGGTCTCCAAGTCTTCATGGAAGGAGACTGTCTCATTTTCCCATGGAGCAGCTGGTGGATTCAAACTGCTGACCTTTTGGTTAGCAAGTGAGTGCTTTAACTGCTGTGCTATCAGAGCTCCTTTCTTCTGGGGTTAGTTGAATGATACATGAAATGACCCCTTAATATTTCAAGTCTTGGTTTGACTTAGTATGTTGCTGTTTTCCCTTTCTGGCTGGAACTTGTTCTTGTCGTAGATGGTACTGGGGGGCTGACCAGAGTGGTCCTGTTTCCTGGTTTTCTAATTCTCGTTGGGCGTCATCTCCTGGCGCAGGCCCAGCAGAGCCTGACAAGTGTGTGCAGGTGTTTGCTGAATTGGGGCCAGAGGATCAACGTAGAAGTGCTGTATTGCCGGCTGAGGCATCCAGACTGAAAGCTTGTTCCGTCAGAGCTGTGTAGCTATACGTGTGTGAGTCAAGTGGAGACAAGTTTCTTGGGTTGGTGGTGTTCCTCGTCACATCTAGATCCTGAGTGTCTGCTGGTGACCCCCCCCCCCGGGTCAGGACGTAGCCTCACACCTGGCCAGATGCACAGCATGGTAACCTGTCATGCTGGGATGAACATGTCAGAATTTATACTTCATGCTTTCCTGACTTTGGCCTCTTTTTTCCTCTCCCCTCATCCCCCTTCATTCTGTCCTCATTGCTCCTTTGAGCTCTGTGGAGAGAAAGGGGGCCTTTTACAAAGAGCTAAAACTATTTGTTTCATGAAAATGTCGCTTTTTAACCCGGACTGAGATGATTCTCTTGTGCTCTGGAGATGGGCATTTGCATCATGCCTTCTGTGGGACCCGCTCTGTCAGGTCTCTCTTGTCCAGAACCAGGAGGCTGGCTGGGTGTTTTTGGTTTCAAGCATTTCCTCTCATAGGGCCTGTTTGATTGGCACTTGCTGTGGGGGTTCTTCCTGGGCCTTGGCTTGTATGGGATGGAGGTGGGTTTAGTCATCTGGGGTTCCTCTAGATCTTAAAACATTTACCAGGCAGGGCCCCCTACTGCCTAGTTGATGGTCTGATCACTGGCCTTTATTCAGAAACCAAGAAACTGTCGATGTCAGAATCCTTTTGGAAGACAGGGCATTTGACTTCACTTGGAGGAGATGGATTAGTCAGTTTCATTGAATGTCTACAGGCATCTTGTGCAGCCTGTGCATGACAGACACATGTGGGAACGAGCAGTCCCCACGTCCCAGAGCTCGCTGTGTCTCCTTCCGGTTGGGCCTGGGCAGGAGGAGTGAGTGGAGTGCTAGGAGGAGGTGTTGGCGAGAGGCTCCACGGTAGGTCACCGAGAGCTCACAGCACAGCCTCAGTGACGTGGACTGGAGTAGCAGGAGGGTGCGCTGCCAGCGTCCTCCAGATGGGGAAAATTAAACAAACCCTTTAGTTCACTTTGGATACTTGATATTTGGTTTACTTTGCAGCTTTTCATGCAACACCCAACACGTACAAGCGGAAGAACACAGAAACCACTCTCGACACCAAACCGTGTGGACCACAGTGTTACCAGCACCTGGTGAGATTTTTGCTTTATTCTCCAGAGATTCTACAAGTCCAGTCTGAACTCTGGAGGTCTGGAGTCAGGGCACACGTGTCTGAGCCACACATGGCAGTGGCGAGCAGCAGCATCAGCAGTGGCTTCTTTTCCTCTTTGGGGCCTGCGCTTTGCAGCCCTTCATTCACCGTGTTATCTCCTCAGCAGCACATAATGTTTTTGGGATTAAGGACACAAATAGCTCCCGCTAATCTGTGTGTGAAATCGGCAGCCCACTCAGCCCAGACACGTGACTGCATGGGGCTGCCTCCAGCCTTTCTTGTGCTGCAGTCCTTCGGGTTTCAGACCCACTGCTGTGGGCTGTGTGTGTAGACCCCGACTTGATGGGGTTCCGTGACTGTGTCCTGACGTAAGTGAATATACTTCATTGGTTTTGGTGATACTGCCTTTTATTATCTTATAAATCATATCTTTGTCTTCGGGGGTTGGTGTGAGAATAACATCAGCAAATTACACGCTACAACGTGGTACGAGTACATCGTGTGGTACGCATACATGTTGCACGGTATGCGTGTGGATCACAAGTAACAAGATAGACAGTTGTAAGTGTAGTTCATCGTAACTCACGTTGTAAGGCAGGGACTGCCTTTGTGGGTCTGGCAGAGATTCTTCATGGGTGACGTAGAGAATGTGAGGGCTGGGGAAATAGGTAGAGAGGAAGGTGCTGTTTTGTGGGCAGCATCTCATTTTGGCCTGTTGCTTCTGAACCAAGCCACTCCTGCCGAGGGCTGATTGGTCTCTGTTCTGTTGGATTTAGATAGATTGTTGGTGGAGTGGCACCTGCAGAAGGTGTCTGCATTTTAAGCAGTTTGGTTTTTGTGAAATGCAGGATTTGGCTGCTCCTAGAGTCTCCCGTGTCCTCTGATCTGGGATTCTGAACACTGCAGACCTGTGGCTGGTACGTCTGAGCCTGTCTGCCTGCACCACCCCCTCACGGATGGCTCCTCCTTTCTGAGGTGGCTTCTTGCACCTTATCCACAGTGGAGCTGTGTGCCCTGATCCAGACATTGTTTGCTGTCACAGGAGTAGGTGAAAGAGTGAGGCACACCTGGTGGTACAGTGGTTAAGCCCTCAGCCACTAACCGAAAGGGTGGTGGTTTGACCCCACCAGATGCTCCCTGGGAGAAAGAAGTGGCAGTCTGTTTCTGTAAAAGGGGCAGCCTTGGAGACTCTGGGGAAGTTCCCTCCTATCTATGGGGGCAGTATGAGTCGGAGTTGCCTCCGCAGCTCTCACCCACAGGAGGGAGGCGGGACGCGACTGTGCGGGCTGCGGGTGTGCTGGCGTCCGTGCTCCCTTTTAAAGTTGCTGTCAGTGGTGTTACCTCAAGAAATGGGAAGTCTGACCCTAGGGTACAAATGAGGGTTCTTTTGAAAAGATTCCGTTTGAAATATACTGTATGCATGTGTGTATGCATGTTGCACCTTGATACAGTTATCAGCCACTTTGGAGTTGACTCTTGACGCATGGCGACCTTACATGTGTGTGTGTTTATGTGGGCGTGTGCGTGTGGGACCTTGGTTACATACAGTTATTAGACGCCTTGGAGTTGACTCTGACTCATGGCGACCTTACATGTGTATGTGTAAATGTGTGGGACTTTGGTTACATACAGTGATCAGCCGCCTTGGAATTGACTCTGACGCATGGCGACCTTACGTGTGTGTGTGTGTGTGTGTGTGAGAGAGAGAGAGAGAGAGAGAGAGAGAGAGACCTTGGTTACATATCAGCCGTTGAGTTGACTCTGACACCTGGTGACTTTATGTATAAACAGAAGGCAACACTGCCTGATTCTGTACC